TGACATTGGATTGCCAATCACTATTGAGAATAGTAGACTCGATTTCATAAGTTAAGCTGAGATGATTGTAGTCAACATTCTATGTTTTTTTAGAAAAAAATATAAACTGACTATCGGCTCCCGTCGGTTCGCTCGGGTTTGCCTGTAGAAAAACAAAAACAAATCTATCCCACGGGAACCGTACGGTTTCAAAATGAAAAATGTACATTTTTCAGGGACATAAAGTAGCTATATTATTGTATAGTTTCATTAAAATCCTTTTAGTAGTTTTTGCGTGAAAGAGTAACAAGCATCCATATATCTACATATATCCATATATATATACATCCAGACGTCCATACATCCTCACAAACTTTCGCATTTATAATATAGTAGGATACTATAACTACAAATTTTTAATCTTTCATTTATTACGTAACTTGTCTTTAATATATTCATAATACCTATAGAACAAAAACTCTACACAACACTTCTAAAGTTGTAAACACCAGTTAGTAAAATCATATAGTTCTCCACGGATAATTTGGGAAAATTCATTGTGTATAGAAACGTGAGACTACATATTTTGGAAGCAATAGCGTAATTTAGCGTTCAGATATTTTGGTCAAATACAACCAATAAAACTTTCATAGAAATGCATATGCGCATTTTCGTTTGCTAATAAACGCATATTTGTACCTAGATTTGCAAAGGAAACATTTCCCAGTGTTAGAGAATTGACGGTATGTGGCGTTCTATTAATCGGATTTAATTTCAGTCAATAGAATCCCAACGCTGCAGTGACATAATGCAGTCAGCTTTATCTAGTCCTCTCTGAAAGATAGCGATGTGTATATATTCATAATAGTTTACAGTAAACGGGAGTCGAAGCGACGTGGGTCCGGAGGTGACACAATCGAGCGTCCAGAACGAATAGAAAACGGCGGAGATCAATTAAAAGCGGCCAGGACGGGACGGGCATGGAATTAAAAGCTAAACTTCGTTACCATCGTGTTATCATCAGAATTGAAAGAAACTTGTTACTCTATGTCGCTATGATTCCAATTTCAAAGCGGATCCAACGCCTTGATTGGTTCCGGCTTGTGTACAAAGATTGATCGAGGTATACGTGTTCTTGCATATTATGTCCCAGCCTCTGTTTGCACGCAAAATTGTTAGTCGTTTCTTTTTATTATGAACGCCGTCTCAAACTGTGCGGAATCGCCCTGTCTGGAACGTATCGTCTGCCTTTGGTAACTCGCGTCTCATTTATCATATCAATCAAGCGGAGGTGATTTGTTAGACTCTTACTATTTTTCTTTAAGCTTTTTAACTATTATTTAACTTTCATATTATACTAGTGACTCACCCTTGCTCTGCTCAAATTCGTTACGTTCGTTCGTAGTTACGTTTTAACGTTTAGTATATATTTCTCAGAGACGAGAAACTTTACAGCAGTAAAAAGTATCCTAAATGTTGACCCGGATAACTAGCTATCCATCATAACAAATTTCATCAAAATCTGTCCAGTGGTTTTCTCATAATGCGTTCTCAGACAGACAGACATACATACAGACAGACGGGCAGACAAACAAAAATCTAAAAACTATAGATTTGGCCTCTATACCTATCGATAATAATGACTATTTTAATAAGATTATTCAAAAAATATTTTAATGCGCATATTTGACTCTGTTAGAATTTTATTAAATGTAGAGATATGCGGAAATCTGTATGATGATCTGTCATTCTATTCTTTCGCGTATCGAAGAAGAACCGTTTTATGATAATATAAAATTGTTACTTAAAATATTACATATATTTTATTAGTTTTAAACAAAACTTATTGTACATCTTGTAGTATATTTTTTATTTCCTATAACAATTTTTACTTATGATGTTTATCTTATACTTCGGTTTAAATAAAGATAATGACAAAAATAAATTAAATTCATTACATTGCACAAGATGACATTGTCATAAGATACGCGCGAAAATTTATAAAATTTTTGAACATTTTGAAGAATTTTTGAAGATTTATACGAAATGAAAGTAAAACAGTCCATGAATAAAAAGTAATCCTTAAGAATAGTGCTATTATAATCCATATTATGTAATTATTATGAGAAAAGTGTTGTACTAATATGCATTTGCTGAACTTTTTTAAGTGAGTATACAAACGCCACAGACTATTATCCGAGCCTTTATATGAGCTTTTATTTTATTTTTAGTGACTAACATTTTTGTTTAAAAATTAAGATTATACTCTCGCCTTCGAGAATAAATAATTTTTATGAAGTTATAGAATTTAGGTCTTCTTGAGGACTGTTTAAAAGACATTGCATTTACAAAACTACAATTAGAGCTTTTCTCACTGATTCTACTTTATCAAATTTGAGACATTGTAGGTAATTAGATTTTTGAATTAAAAAAACTCGAATTTTCTGACTTTTCGGAACAAAGTATAACAGGTGAACTGAAATTCTCTGTAACTTTACATAATTATGTACACAATAGTAACTTAATTAGAATTTATAAGAGAAATACCTATAGTTTTTCATTGAAAACAATTACAAATGAAATACCTCTTTAAGACTATAATAAGAACGAAAACACTTCTGCACAAACAAAAACACTAAGTTTCCTACTTTCTTTCAACGCGTAAATAATTAAAAATCAAACAAAAAGGTAATTAAAACGTGCCTTTGAAAGCGGTAAACAATTATGTCCCAGTCGTGTTGTCGTCGCAATCTTAAATAGCAATACAATTATAGTGTACTTCCAACTAAAATGTGCATTTAAAATCTAAACATTAAGGTTTTGGAAGAAAATAGATACTGTACGCGACTTGACTTCCTTGAATTTCTTGAATAAGTGAACCATAGAAACTTCTATATTTGTATAGGATTAGCTTAAAAGAATGTAGAGCACTTAATATTCTTCCGAGTATTTTTACGCACTGCAACTCTCCTCGTCGAGTAAAGAGGACCTCATTACATACACAACGGGCCTCCACGTTCAATAAAACTACAAGAATTTTATTTCTAAAATTCTTTTTACCTGTAAGCACAGCTTATATATTGAGTACTATTCTTATGCGTATATAGTATACTAGCGATTCACCCTCGCTTCGCTCGGGTTCGACCCTAGCTTACTTCCCAATACAAACTCACCCCCATTTTCACCCACTTAAGGGATTATTTCCGGGATAAAAACCAGTGTCTCAAACTATCCTCTTACCAAATTTCATCTAAATCGGTTTAGTAGATCCAGAAGTTACCCCCTACAATCTCACAAACTTTACCTCTTATATAGTATATAACAATTAATATAAATAAATAAATAATTAATATAAGGCAATTTAATGGGCATTAGTACTAAAAAAGAGCGTTGGGTGGCGCTAGAGTCGAATCAGACAATTTGAGTTTTAGGTGCATGCATGCGCTTAAATGGCATAACCACAGCTATAATTTTCTTTAAAAAAAAATATAATTTATATAATACATATGTAAAATAAATGGTGCACATGAAAAGAGGTTCAAAAGTTATTGTAGCACTATGATCAAATATAAATCTTAAAAAAATAGCTAGGTACCTAAGTTACTTAAATATTTACGTAGGTTTTAATTTTACAAAACGGTCGCAAGTGACCACTTGCAACAGCTACAATAAAAGATGTTACTGTACATCGTTAAGGTATTTTCATATTAAACAAAAGAGAAGACTTAATGCGTAAAAAAACACAAAATGAAAAGTCAAATATTGAGTGGACAAATAGGTCCGCAACATTAAAATTTATCGCGCTGGGTACACGGGCTACACAAATAGTGGCGAAACCGTATAAAGTTTGTAAAGCAAGTATACAGTTTATTAAATAAAACATTCGGCCGTACTTAGTGTCGACCGCTGAAGGTGCCTAACTTACTCAAAACTAATGCATAATTTAGTGAAACGCGCCATGTCTAATGGTTTATTCAAACTCACATTTCCCAGTCTCGGCTAGCGATATTGACTATACATAATGCATATAAAGAAGCTAGTCATACATTGAAATATCATATAAAATAAAATAAGAACATAAAAATATAGTGTACTAATGGAGTCAGAAAATTGTTCCTGCTTCTCCATGATATAGTGGAAAATTATAATATTAATTTGCTTTATTGCTTCGTATAAGTTATAGCTTTAGATGCGTTTGTAAAAGTTTTATTTTCTTTTGTCTACTTGCATTCTATTTGTGACTTAACTGTAGCTGTGATTTCGACATCGTGATTGCAAACAAGTTTTAAAACTGTAAAAACAGTGAATTGCGAGTTTAATGAAAGTATAAACAACTCTATATAAATTGTAAAAATAGGTTTTGTGCATCATTGAAGCAAAGGAAAATTACTTCAAAAGTTTTTATATGGTTGAAGAAGTTAGAATTTCTTTACAATAGTTATAGCCTTTAAGATCTTTGTGAAATCGCACGTCACAGGATTAATTATACCTACAACCTTCATTTTAAATTGGATAAAAGTTGATGAAGAGATTTATCGCTGCAAGGGAGGGAAAGATCGTGTAAATTATTGTCAAGACACCCGTACAATATGTCTTGGCAATAATTTTCAAGATCGGTATACGAATAGTAAAAAATAAAATTCTCTACATAAACTGAGATTATTTCACATTCATTTTAATGTCTATAACAAAGTTATGCACTGTTTTATATCTTAACCTCGAGTTCTAAATAAAGTTCCCACAAATACTCTTGACGCACAGTGTTACTTTTCTTTAAAACTGCACTTAACGGCACCTAGCGTCGCTATAAAGCAACATTGAAATACTACGATACTCATGTGTATTTTCACTTTGTAAAATTATATCTACGATCAGATCGTACATATATACGAATGTTTAGGCATCGTATCTAATTTGTTAATAACATGATGCATACAAAAAATACCGATAGCATTGTACACAGCAAATTGCAAATATATATATCGGATGTCTATCGGAACGTAATTCGTACGGTAGATAATATGAGTGACCATCAATATGGGCCGATTAGGACAAGGGAAGGACACGCGGGAGGGGAATATTATCTTGAGCGGGAAGGAGCGTTAGTCGCGTTGGCGTGCATTTTGCATGAGCCGGCGCCGGCGTGCGAGCGAGAGGGCTGCGAGAGGGACGCTCTGGATCTACATTTAAAGCGCATTGTAAGCAAACGCATTATTAATGTATCTGTTTTAGTTGTTGGGGAGTACCGGAGTACCGGCGCGCCCGGCTGCCAAGAGCGGCCCGAGTTATTCATGCTTCATGCATACACCATTCATATTTGATTCCTTTTAATTCCCAGCGTCTTTCGTCTACGTTCGTCGATGACGTTTCATTTAGTGAGCTAGTTGCACGTGTACGTTACGCCGCCGCTCCTATGAATACGTTAATGTATATAAGGACGCGTTTCATTACTTGCTATTATATATATATATATATATATATATATATATATATATATATATATATATATATATATTTCCTATATAATGTATTTCATTAGAATTTAATTAATGTAAGTAATCTTGATGTAACTATATAATATATACGAATTTACAATATATTATATACACTGCAATATTATATTTACTGTCCAGTGTTCACATATTTAGTATTCTGACTCGTATTATAATTAAATGAAATCAATAACTAATAAAGATACCTTATTTACGTTATTGTTTATTCTAATAATAATTAATTTAGCCTCAATTGTAGGTACACATTATAAATTCTACCTCAAAATTTTATTATTTAAAGGCACTTTAATAAAAGTGGACGAGGTCAGTGTGTCATGTCAAGATTAAATGTAATTGCATATCAAATAATATTTAACAACAATATATTTTGGCATATAAAAAATTTTGCATTGTTCATGATACTTTTAGTAAATAGTAAACTTTCGCACACGATATACACAGCGGTAGCAAATAATAACGATTTTTTTTTTGTTTTAGTTAACTTTTGGCGAGCGTGACATTGCATGAAGGATACACGGTGCACTTGATATGGATATGCATTCACTCAATTGTAACAAATATATTTAAAGGTGCTATAACTATGACTTTGTTATAGTGCTTGTATCTAATTATATATGTTTACTTTAATATGCGATCGGTATTTAGGTAAAATAATTATATACCTAATTATCACAATAACAGGTACCTAGGTATTATTTAGACTGATCTCAAATTCTCTAAAGTCTAAACAAAAAGATTTTATACGTAGCAGTTTATTTTTGTAAAAAAGCATTCATCTAAACTTATTTTAACTTAATTACATCAAAGAATTTTAAAATTTACTGATACTGAAACCTAAACAAAATTCTTTTTTAAATAAGAAAAGTAAACACAGCACGACTAAGTAAAGCAAAGCGTCACAAACATATACCTACTATGTACGATTATCCCGCCGGGGTCTATTTCAGATTGCTTTCGTCAATCGTCACAAATAAAATAATCTGTATCGAAATCGATTCGGATGTGACGTGCATAGACACGAGAGGGTTAAAAGAAAAACATTTTGAAACAAGCCCGCGACTCAAGGCGGCAAAGCCCGCGTTCACAAAGAGTCACTCCACAATTTTCTCAAAAAAAACCGCGCGCGAGCGCAAACGGCACCCGGAGTGCAATTCAAATGGCTCGACCCGCACGTACGTACATAAGTTATTAAAAAAAGTGTGCCTTTGGCGTAGGTTTTAATAAAAATAGTCGTCTCGCGCAACCCTTTGTCAGAACATCAGAGGAGCTTGTGCCATACCTCTATTAATGTGGGGGCTGCCTCGAAGACGCACAGGGCCGCACTCATACGATGTATTAATTAGCAACTGCGTAAATGGTCGCCTCCTTGATGGCCCAAACTTTTAAATATATCAAGTTATTCAATCATAATAGGTACCAGTTTATAATTAAGTTAGTAAAAGGTATAACGTTAAAAAACTGCACTAATAATCACTTTTGTGAACAAAGGAGCTCAAAGAAGTTCAAACAAGAAACTGAAGGAAAGGCTGTTTGAAATTGCAACTGCGTTTTCCCATCTACTACTCAATGGAAAATTCAATTAAAAGAAAAAACATTCTTAAATTTAAATTACAGAATCGAATTTATTTCTGTTGCTCATACTTTTTCATATTTGGAGAAGTGGGTTAGGGGTAAATAAATTGAAACTTTGCCAGCTGCCATACTGTAGCTTATGTAAACAGGATTGGAAGCTTAATTACGACATTTATTAAGTGTAACTAAAAACAAGCCGTTTGCCAAAACTTTTATGTTAATTTATCAAATTTTGCAATAATTGCAACCATTTCTGTGAAACTTATACTCGTACTGCTATAAAAATATAAAGAAATTTACTGTACTGTATCGTTGGTTTTTGAATCAAATAGAGAAATTAAGCTTCTATTTTAGTAAAATTTAGTTTTTACTTTAAAATGTACAAGCTTTTTAAATAAAGGAATAAAACCAAACGACTTTAACACGTTATATGACGATAAAATCAATTAAATACTTAGTTAATAATACTTTAAATAAATAAATAAATGTTGATAAAATTAATTTATGTAGGACCCAGGGATAACAATAAAAGTATTATTGACACACTAACTATTTATTCTGTATAAATTACAACACTGTGTTCACGCTTATCGTTATGTCGCCATTATGACGAAACATCCTTTTTTTCTTTTATTCACCTTTCATTCCAGTCCATTCTTAAAATGATACCATACGTCTCTTTTACTCTTAAAATACCATTTCATGTATACTCTCTATATATATATCTTGCAAATCCTACATTTATAATATCAATAAAATTATATTTTTATTATAATAAATATAAAACAGACATCGAAGTCGGCCCTGTGCTGTCGCGCGTCGTCATGCTCCGCGCGAATGAATGGGACAAACACGGGATCCTTTTTCGTGAAAGACCATCGCATCGTAACATTCGCTCATAATATTCCACAAACACGGTCTGAATGAGCTTTAACCTCTCCGAGTAGCGCGTTTAAATATAGTAATAGACGTTTCTACTAATATACGATACTCGTATAGGCATGGACTTTTTGTTTCAATTTATATATAATGTAATTCGTCGTAACGTATATATTTGCTTGTATTGTAAGTGTGCATTTATAGGGTTGTGTAACTAAAAATCTTCTTAAATAGAAATATATTAAACAAATTGTAAGAAACATTTAAGTTTTTAAATTTAAGTTTACTAAAATATAGTAATTTATGTAATTTAATATATGAAGAAACTTAAAAGCTACACAAATATTTAATTTACATAATGCGTACCTCAGGCTTACGTAATAATAACTGGATATTGTATCGTCTACAAAGAAATAGAATTGTAAGATTTCTTTTCAATTATTTGTTAAGTTTTTCTGCGCAGTTTCTAAAGCTATATTGAAGCCGCAAAGTAGTAGAAAAAAATAAATAAAAGTAAATTGACCAATCATGAATAAGATGGTTTTTGATTCAAAAACTTCATTATTATTTAAATATATAATAATATTTTTGTATTATAAGTAATGGATGGATAGAGATATGTATGTATTTATCCTTTTCGAACGTCCCACTGCTGGGTGCGGGTCACCCATCAATGCAAAGGATCAGGCTACAATCCACCACGCTGGCCAAATGCGGGTTGGCAGACTTAACATGTCTTTCGAAAACTTCCTAGGTTCTTTCAGACAAGCAGGTTTCTTCACGATTTTTTCCTTCACCTTAAGACAGTGGAATCGTGTTGAAAATGATTTGCACATGGAAATATCAGAGGTGTGAGATCCGGGATTTCAACTCGCTTCACTCGGATTCCCAAGCAAGCGTGTTAGCACTAGGCTATCGCTGCCTTAATGATATGATATAGACAAACAAAAATAGAGACACTATACAGTGATATACAAGTTTACCACAGAAGAACTAAGCACCCTCTCCAGATTAACATGCAAAACGATATCACACTGGATGTGCCAGTAATGATAATGTTTTTTCATGGAGGGGTCATACAATTTGCAGCATTTTTCATCCGACATAATCTAAACGCGTGCTTTGTATAATCGGAGACTCGTATAGCAATCGTTGATACTCAATCTAACTTTCAAAGTCATAAAGTTTAAAGTCGAATGGCACTAACTACACACATCACTTAAGATATTAATGAGTGCATCCGTAATAGACGAAACATACACATGAAATTCAAATTTGTACCGCGGGTTGGGAGCGAGCTCTTCTACATATTTTAGTAGGCAACACAGTGTGAATTAGAATCTTTTGTTAGCATTTAGAGCATCAGTTAGTAGTGGCATAGTAGCGGGGCACTTTCTATTCGCTAAGCACGACGCACCCAGGCCATCGCCGTAGACAAACGTAGCCCTACGACGTAGCGGTTGTTCTATACTGATTGCTTATTTTGCGTATAATGCAAGGCGTTGCTGCTCGTAGCGATAACGTGATAAGACACCGGTTACATATTGCGAGAGCCAGATTCATGCATACATATTATATCACCATTCAATTTTGAAGCAAACCTTCGTGAATTGACGTCCACATCGTTTAAGGCAGCTCTGAAATAACTTACATTTACGTTAAGATTTTAGATGAAATTGGAATTTTATTTATTCTATTGAATTACTTATATTTAAATTTTTGTTCAGATATTTGAGGATCAATTATAGTAAAAGTTAAAGCTATATTGCAAAGTTAAATGTTACTTTGAATAGAGTGAGCAGACAGTCGCTGAGAGTTCACAATAGCGCACAGTGCAGGTACAAAGAAATTCGATTAGGGGAGCGACAAAAGATTTATAGTTTCTATAGAAAAAGTAATTAGCGAAAACGAAAGAAAGCCGGGCGTTGGTAAAGTCATTGGACATAATTCATAACAAACAGAAATAACGGGAAGTTCGTTCGGCGCGGGTAGGCAATGAATAATTCCCTAACTGCGAACACCCTTCCCCCCTCCCCTATACGCCCCAGTAGGGGCACCGCGAAAAAAGTACACGACCCGGTCGAGTTTTATAGTCCAGGGAAAAATAGGAGGTAGCCAAAATATCTATATACGGCGTATGCAAAAAGTAGAAAAAACTACAATCCCGCTGGCATGAATAAGTGAGTGGACCTTCATATAGAAAAAGTAAGCCAACAAAAATAGAAAAAAGTATGCGATGCGCCGCAAGGGGACGGAAAGAGGGCTGCACCTCGCGGACGCCGAATCCTGATACAGGTCTATTAACTAGCAGAATTAACACTTCGACGGCGTTTTTCGTTTGGGAGCAACAGCGT